TAAACTGAATTGAAAAAATAAGGAACTGGGATATTTCTAGCTCGTAGCATGAACACGCGATAAAGCAATAAAGCTAACGGGCTAAGAAAGAAAAATCTTGCTGTTAATTACAAAATACAGTGATGCTAAAGGTTGACCTTTAGCACCGTATCACAGGTGAACAGTATGTTGGATAAAAAGGAGACAACCTCTTCCATCAAGGAATTTGTTGAGGAACTCGCCCCGTGGCACTGGATTCACCAGAAAGGACGCCATGCCATGATAGTGATACAAAGAGGTCCACACATCTTTGGGGTTCCTCATGACGTAGATCACCTGCAGACATTACAGGACATTTTGAATGCTTCGTTCGTTTTAGTMTAAACTTGTTTTGTTTTTACAGGAGGGCATTTCATCATCGTCCATTACTGAAAGCTACAAGAACTCACAATATTAAGATTTCAACAAATTGGCTTTTATTGAATCATTTTTAATGTAAGATGATCTCATTTCAAAACTCAATGGTGGGTGATATGCATTCTTTCAATTAATGTCAGGACTTTAATTTAAAATRCTGTTGCCTGTACAATGTCCAAATGTGTGATCATTTTGCACAACATTCTAACAATTTGACAAGCAGCAGCACACAGGGAAATGACTCCACCACTCTCGCCTCTTAGACCAGGGCTATTCAACTAAACTGCTCCGGGGGCCACAGTTACTGCAGGTCAACAGATGAGGGGCAGAACATCCAGCAATTAGTCATTATGTAAATAAACCAAGTATTACAAAGATCTGTTACCTTTGAAATAGTTTATTTTGCTGCATTTAATCATGAATACAACACATGTAATATGTTGTATTCCCTAACCCTATGTAATAAACCTAATCCTATGTAATAAAACTAACCCTATGTAATAAACCTAACCCTATGTAATAAAAGCAGTGATAAAAAATAATATCAAAAAGTATATATGCCTCCTATTTAACACAAATAATATTTTGACATCTCTGACTTGCCAAATTTTTAAACAAATTTTATTTTTTACTTTCATGATTTTATCTTCAACTGCTTGTAATCCCTAATAACAAACCCTGGATCACCAGTGAGCTAAAGGAACTGTTAAACAAGGAAAAAAGAGCATTTAGGGATCGAGACAGGGAGTTATTGAGAAATATACAGAAGCAGCTTAAAGTCAAGATCAGAGACAACAAGGAGGTTTATAGAAGGAAGCTGGAGAATAAACTGCAAAGGAATATCAGAGATGTGTGGTCAGGGATGAAGAAGATCACAGGTTTCAAGCAAAAGGAGAATTGGATGGATGGAAGTCTGGACAGAGCAAATGAGCTGAACACATTCTTCAACAGGTTCAGCTCAGGAACAAGCTCATCTTCCTCCTCTCCTGCCCCCAGCCAAACAGACATCTCACCCTCCTTGACCCACAGCTTTCCTGTCAAACCTCAGATGTTTTATCTTCAACCTCAGTCATGGACTTTTCTTCTACATCCACAAG